GGGTCAGCAAAAGTGCCCAAATTTTTTCCAGGCACCGTCGCACCTCCCCAGCCGCCGCTCCCAGGGCCCTGGTGCCTTCGCCGATCTTGACCGCCATCTTGGCTACGTCGGCTCAGGCATTAGATGCAAACCCGGGACGTGTTTGCAAAGGAAGGGGGTAAGGAACGGTATTGAACCTAAGCAAGGATATCGAGTAAAGTAAGGTGAAAGTGAAGCAAAACTAGCTAGGCTCCGTACGCCGACGCAAAGTAAGCTGAACTAAGCCAAGCTGAACGAGATAAGCAAGCGGAGCGAGCTTCACAGAGGCGAAGCTCCAAGCTAAGCCAAAGTGAAGTAAGCAAAGCAAGCGCTCCGAGCTAACCTCACCCCCCTGGTTGGAGTACAAATAGGGGTCAAATTTTTTCGGGCCTCGTAACCATTCGCGGACGAATGGGTTTAGGAAGGGGGTATTGTCGTGGAGTCGCCAGCGCCTCCCCTCCTAGGCTCTGCCTAAGCCCACCAGAACTCGGCCCAGACGCCACAGCACCCTCGCAGCACCTCAGCATCCGCCTCCCTCCCCTTAGAGCGCCTCACACAGCGCCTCTTTTCCATCATCAACCTCGCCACTCTGCCCCTCCCTAGCGCCCTTACGGGCGCCCTGCCTCCCGGTATCACCGGACTTCCATCATACTCCCTATGTCACTCCCTACGTCACCACAGTCATTACGATTACTATAGCACCCTGAAGGACGTCATAGGTATTAGTCTAGCTACAGGTCACCTGATCGTTGGTCACATGCTTCATACTCACCCTAGGTACCAAACACGTACAAATAGGTACCTGGTCTGTGCGCACCTGCTCCAGTATATAGGCAGAGTAGATCCTGCACCTGTTCCCCATCTCGACCTCTTAAGTCATTGGGGACAGGTAAGCACCTCTTGTACTAGATGGTCAAGTCAATATACTTAAGTCATTGGGGACAGCTTTGGCCTTCGTCGCCGGCCTCCTCCTTGGCCTCTTTCAGGCAAGTTCCCTGGCACGCCCCTGTTGCAACCCCAGACCTCTGTCGGGGTTCGCTGAAGGGTGCCTCTGCCCTGTAAGCCCCTCTCTCCCCTCTCTCACCTCCTCCCATCGTCGTCCCCGCATGGACTCGGCGTGGGCCAGCACCACCTCCGTAAGCAGGTCGGTCTGCCGTCGTCCCTCGTCCCGGGCCTCCGCGACATTAGGTCGAGATCCTTACCGGCCCCTCCGTCCTCCTCGGACTGACGCCGGTCCCGCCTTCACCCGCCGTCGCCCAGACCGCT